CTAATATACAACTAAATAGACTTTTGCAATTTCTTCAATATGGATCTGATTATATACTGCAGAATAAATAAAATAATTCAGGTTTGCTATCTTAATATATAAATAAATAAACTTTTCATATTTTTTAATTATATTAATGATACATAGAACATGTCTAACTAATGTGGTTTTTTTAATGATGGTTTTATTTAGTAGTCTGATATTCATTTGTGGTATTTTTATTTTAATTTTATACTTATACAATATTTCTTAATTAATGTATGCTTATGAAATATATTAAGTTTCTGTATAAAATTTAATTAGAATTTAATTTATAATACTATATGCTAATTTAGGGAAACCTATCATCTCATAGTTATCTAATACAATTACATACGTTTATCACCAGAACTCCATAGACCTGACAAAATTGAGTTATATGCCTTCACCAATACTTTTGTCAAATTTTATCTTTTTATCTTCTACTTTGGGATAGAGTAGTTTTATCTGATTTTATTATATCTCAAATATTTTTTTATTTCAAATTTAAAATTTGCAATATAAATATGATTATTTGTAGATAAATTAATTCAGTTTTGCGAACTTAATATACAAATAAATAGACTTTTTATATTCTCCAAATGCATTAACAGAAATAATAATTAATTTTTGTAGTTTTAATATTAAATTGACACTTGTTTATCTAATATGATGATGTGTTAAGCTGTGGGAGAGAGCTCACCTCTATTTATATATACTAGATGAGTACCCGCACGATGCACGGATTTTTGTTTTATAATATAGTTTGTTAAAAAAGTTTAGTTATAGTTTATTTTATCGTATATTTAAATTTTACTTAAGTATGTTGTGTATTTGAATAAACATGCAATATGTATGTACATATTATGTAGATATTGACTATATATGTGATAAACGGTTTATTGATCATGAAATATGAAATATGTTATGCCTTGTATATATAGAATAAATTAAACAGATATACTGTAAATTAGAGAAGTACTAAATAACAAAAAAAAACAATTAGAGAAACTCTTCAAAGCACAATATAAGTAGAGACGACCCTTTTTAGCATGTTGTATTTGTTCTTCGCGTGGACTAATTAAACATTTCTAGTCACTACTTTTTTGGTCACATATCATGCTGTAAATCCCAATTTACTTTATTTTTATTCTGATTATTTTGTGAGGTTTTATTACATTGATAATAAATTAAAATATACATTTATCAAACATATAAAAGCCAAAACAAATATATTTTTAATTAGCACACAATTAAAAAGTAAACAATTAATTGTCTAACTTTAACTATATTATAATAAGAATTTATTAATTACAAAATTTAAAATGACAGATATCACTTACTCTACTGCTGATGTGGCATTCAACTGGATAGAGTTAGACCATCTTTTATATTATAGATATATATATATATATATATATGATTAGAAAAAGTTATCAAAACTTGACCAAGTTACTAAACACATAGTTAATATGTCATTTTTTTTTGGTGAAGAGTCAATATGTCATTTCAAATCCACTAAAACAAAGATATATTCATTTTAAATATATAACCGAAAAAACTAAACCACACCAAAAAATGATATGGTAAGTTAAACTTAAAAATCCATCTGATAATGTTACGTGTGGTGAAGTAACAGCTTTATGATACCCTTGATTTACTTTTGTAAATTCCTTTATGATTTGAAGAATTAAAAAATTCAAAGTCCTGTTCCCCAATTAGGGGATTCAATTTGGTATAATCCCCTGACAGATTATAATATTAAATTTTGTATATGCAAGCTTATATTGTTTCAAATATATAAATGGAAGTCAATTTCTAATGGGAAAATAATTTACTGTAAACTAGATGATCGTCCGCACCGTGTATATGCTGTAAAATATTTTATATACTAAATATATAATTAATATTATATATTAATTATATTTTATTTGTATATAAATAATTATGTATTAATAATAACATTATATAAATATTCAATAATTAAAAATACAACGATAAATCAAATGAAAAATATTATATATTTCAATAGAAATTGAAGATAAAAAAAATATTAATCCAGATTTTTAAAATACTTCATTAGATAAAAAATACAAATATGATAACTAAATAAACTGAAAATATTAAAATATATAATAATTTATTTAGTTTTTATGGTTGGTCCGCACGCATGTGTAAGTGTAATTTTTTTATAGATATAACTAGTTCTAATATTTAAGTATTAATTACTTTCTTATACATATGTAAGCATTATGTTTTTTTTACATATACAGTTTTGGCATTTAACAACAATCACACAAATATTTTATATCATTTTGTGTCTTTGAAAAACTTATTATGTAAGCATTACATTTTTATAAATATACATTTTTAGTGTTTAACAACAATTACACAAATATTTCATATCGTTTTGTGTCTTTTAAAAACTTTTAATTTTTTCTAGCGTTTAGAGTAACATATAATTACAAATATAAAAATTATATTAAATAATAATTAAATTCTTATAATATGTTTTGAATATTATCTATATTATATATATTTTTTCCCTTGCATAATATAATCTTGTCAATATATATATTTTAAGTATATATATTTCCTTCACCTATTGCTAAGTAAACCAAAATGGGTTTTACCATCACTACTTATCCTATGCGACTTTGATTTTTGCATACTTAATATTTATATTTACACGCATATTTGTGACAAAATCGAAGTATGACTTTTATGTATTATAAGAAAATAAAAAAATAAATGTTCTGTAATATATATTTTTATAATGTGTGATTGATATTTATATAAAAAATATATATTTCTGTATGTAGGTATGAATTATAAATAATTTATTTATAATATTTAGGTGTTGGTTAGTTTTTATGATATTTTCCACAAACGTTATGATTTTACACAATATAGTTTTTTGGTGTTTAACAATAATCATGAAAACCGTTTATATCGTTTTGTATTTAATTAAAATTTCTTATTTTTCACCATTTTATGATATATAGTTTCTCAATCAAAACTGTAACAAAAATTTATAATAAGATTTGTGAATTCTTATTTTATAAAATTTTCCAGTAGCTTTCCGCTCACCTCTTCGTCAATTTTTTTATAGCAATCACTCGCTTCCACAAACTCTTTGTAACTGCGGCGTTTAAACCAGCCGGATCCTAAACTTATATGTATATGATTGAAGATGTTAGATAATATATTTAATATTTAATTGTTATATTACAAAATAAGAGTTCGTATGCTCTTAAATTTTATATATGTGTTAATCTTTATACAATGGATCATAACATATATAATACTTGATTCATAAAATAATATTTTAAAATATATGCATGAAAGAATTAATATGGTTGGTGTGCACGCATGTGTTTATTATAAAATTTGAGCCACACATGCGTGTATTATATAATTTCTTTCATAAGATTTTTAAATGACTTCATAAAACAAAATTTAAAAGTGTTACGGAAAAACAAAGCTGTGGAGATTTTTTTTTTTTACTTTTACTTCTTATTCATATTTATTTTTTTCTTTTTTATAATTTATTTTTTCATCCGATTACATTGCTTTTTATTTCTTATCTCAAATTTTCATCTACAATGAGACTGTATATGAGTATGATATAAACTTTCAATTTATTTAAAAAAGAAGATGAGAGATAAGATAAAATAGTAATGTAAGCTACGCAAATTTTAAAAAATAATAATATAAAATGTTAAAAAAATATATACAAGTAATAATATAACATACTCTCAACATTATTAATATATAGCATATATACTATCTTATTGGATAATCTATTATTATTTTTCTATTGAAAAATATAAAATATATATTGGTTGTAAAAATTTTCGTAATCATATTTTATGCAATCTATTATGAGTATATATAAAAACAAATTGAAATCATAGTAATTGTTATTTTTTGTTTATTTAAATTTATTATTTTTAGTGTTATAATCTAGTGTATTTATGTTATAATTTTATAATATATTTAATTATAATTCAACCAATCAAAATATTTTATTTATTTTAAGAAATTTGTCATATCATATTTTCATATCATAATTGCCATGTCACATTCCATATCATAATTCTTTGTCACCGTTAATTTACACTAACTTTTGCTAAGGTGACATTAAAAAATTTCATTAAACATGTTTCTCAAATAATAATTAAGATTAAGATTTAAAATGATACATTCTGGTGAATTAGAACAGATAATTAGTTATATCTTTGTATGGATTTACAGCTGATAAGTTATTAAAACGATGGATATAATTAAAATTTTGAAAATAAATAGATAAAGACAGTAATTTTCTAAAATGAAAACTTTTAAAGTCAACTATTTAATAAAAAATTAAGAAAAGACAATTGTTGTTATGTTTTACCAATAATTAAGAACACAGTAGTCAATAAGATAGTAATTTGTATGATTGTAGCTCAACTCCAATACAAAAAAGTTGTCTAAAACTTGACCAAGTTACTAAACAGTACAATGTGTTTACTAAAGACATAGTCAATATGTCATTTCAAATCCACTAACAAAGATATATCCGTTTTAAATATTTTATCCATAATTTTATTCTTAACAGCTTTTGTTTTTGGATTACTATTGACAGTTTCTTGGTTTGCAAGAACAATTTTGGTAGTTGGGAAGCTGATGTGAGAACCTAGAAGCTTAACCGGAGTAAGCAAAACCCCAATCACTAAACCGGATAACTATTTGTAGATTGTGTGCTCTTAACCCGGGTAGCAAAACCTCAGTCACTGATAGATTAGTAATTAAATGATCATAGATTTTAACGATTTGATCTCAAGTCTCAAGAATCATAAGAAAGCAATACATGCTCAATTCCATTACTTGACACAAACTAAATATGTTATACGTCAACGCAGAACATTTAAGCAATCTAAGCAAAACAGAGTTTTCAGAACAAGAACTTTCGAGTTTCACTCAGCTTCACGTCTCCAGAATCACTTCTCGGAATCACATTGCATCTCGCTATAACTAGTAGCTTTATTGTTGAAGACATTAAGAAGACAGTCACAAGCTTGTCTTGAAGATGGTCTCTCCTGAGGATAAGTCTTTGTGCACTGAATTGCTATTTCAAGAACCTGATAAGCTGCTTCTTCTTGGCAAGGCAAAAGCGGTTTAAGCTCTGAATCAATCAGCTTCTCTCTCGCTGCAGAACCTGGAGGCGTCTCAAGAACCGTATCTACCCATCTAACCATATCAGTCTCTTCGCCAAACACTTCCTCCGTTGGCTTTTTACCAGTCACAATCTCCATCAACACTATCCCCATACTGTAAACATCGCTCTTCTCTGTCGCCTTCAACGAGTAAGCATACTCTATAAAAAGAAACCGATTCCAATCAAACATTAGCTTTAAGTCCAAGAAAGGAAACTCAAGAAATATCAACAACATACCTGGAGCAATGTAGCCATAAGAGCCTGCAAACAAAGTGTTTGATTCTGTGTCGGTGTCATGATTCTCAGCAAGGATCTTGGCGAGTCCGAAATCTCCTAAATGTGCTTCCATGTTCGAATCAAGAAGCACGTTACTGGATTTGATATCTCGGTGAACAATCGGAGGAACACAATCAAAGTGAAGATACTGTACTCCTTGAGCCAACCCTAGTGCAATCTTCAATCTTGTTTCCCAATCAAGAAACTCCTTCTTCTTCGTCGTCTTCTCCTTCGAGTGTAGCCAATCCCAAACGCTTCCGTTCTCCATAAACTCGTAGATCAACAGATTCAGACCTTCTGCTTTGCTGCTGCAGTAACCCATCAGCTTAACCAAATGTCTGTGTCTTATCGTTCCAAGGGTCTTAACTTCTCTGTTGAAGCTCTTGTTTGACATCAAATCATCTTTCCACAGAATCTTCTTCACAGCAATCGTCTCTCCGTTCTCCAAATCCGCTTTGTAAACTTTCCCTGAACCTCCTGACCCAATCATGAACTCGTCGTTAAGGTAATGCGTAGCTTCCATGATATCATCCCACTTTATATCTGACTTTGCACCTCCATTCCTAAACAGAGGAGCTTGTGAAGAAGAAGAAGAGTTTGATGAGAAGGTGCTTGTCCCTTTCTTGAAAAGATCATGACTTTGCTTGAAGAAGAGCAAGATCACAAGAACCATCAAAGCAATCGCTGCTAAGGAAGCTATCGCAGAGATTATAACCACGGTTTTCGCACTAAGACCTTGTTGCTTCTTGCTCAAGCCACCTCTGTTACAACGACCAAGAGGGCTTCCACAAAGACCTGCATTGCCTACAAAGGCATCCACTTGCCATTTAGAGAACTGTTTCTTTAGTTTACCTTCGAGGTTGTTGTAAGAGAGGTTGAGATATACTAAACTCTTCATTTCTCCTATTGGGCCAGGAACTTCTCCAACAAGGTGATTATGAGAGAGATCAAGAGATTCAAGTTTATGTAACGTTGAAACCGTTGATGGAATGTCTCCGGTGAAGTTGTTGTAGCTGAGATCCAAAGCACTTTGAAGATTTTGTAGCTGTCCAATCTCAAACGGGATCTCTCCGGTTAGGGCATTTCTTGATAACCGAAGCTCGTAAAGCTTGCTCAGCTTGCCTATAGCTGAAGGAAGAGGACCTGAGATCTGATTCATGCCGAGGTTAAGTACATTGAGAGCTTCCAAGTTCCCAATCTCTTGTGGTATCAATCCGCTGAGTGAATTTCCATCAAGAGATAGCACAAGAAGCTTGGTTAAGCCGAAAATCTCGGTAGGGAGAGACCCGGTAAACCGGTTAGAAGAAAGCTTGAGCTCACCTAACAATGGAAGCTTTCCAAGCCATGGAGGTATAATCCCTGAGAGAAAGTTATCGTTGAGATCAATGCGTGTCAGCTTCTTGCACAAACCGAGCTCTAACGGTATGATCCCTGTGAGAGAGTTGCTTGAGATATCCAACAGAGAAAGCTCACGGATCTTCCCAAATGTCCAAGGGATCCTTCCTGTGAACTGATTCTTCCCTAACCTTAAACGATCAAGATTCGGAGATATCCCTAGCTGAAGAGGTATATCTCCTTCGAATCCGTTGTCCGTGAGGTCAAACGAGAGATAAGAGCTTGAACCGCACAAAGGACTGATCGAGCCATTGAGCTTGTTGCTGGAGAAATTGATTCTTGTGAGGTTCTTGAGGTTGATGAGTGAACTCGGAAGGTTCCCTTCAAGAGAGTTGTTGTAGATCAAGAACTGTTCTAACGACTTCAAGAACCCGAACGAGGGAGGTATCGAACCGGAGAGACGGTTATCGGCTACATCAAGAATCGTCAGTTGTTGACAGTTACCTAAAGTGGCGGGAATGTTACCAACGAGCTCGTTGTCTCTCAAGTGAAGCAAAGTAAGCTCTGTTAATCTCCCAACTGAAGAAGGAATCTCTCCACTGAAATGATTCCCATACATATCGAACAATTTCAGATTCGTGCAGTTCCCAATCTCAATCGGGATCTCACCGGAAAACCGATTCTCATACAGATACAGAACTTGTAATTCGCTGAGCAATCCGATTTCTCTCGGTACCTTGCCTTCCAAGTCATTGTGATACAGAGCAAGCTCTATTAGATTCGTTAGGTTAGATATTGATGGAGATAACGTACCTTTCAAGCTACTGTTGTGAAGATACAAAACCTCGAGTCCTACGAGCTGAAACAACGAATCGGGAATTTTACCAGTGAGCGTGTTATTCGACAAATCAAGCGATTCCAATGACTGACATTTGCTGATTTCCGCCGGAATTTCGCCGGAAAGCTGAGTATTAGACAAAACCAGGTGCTTCAAGCTTGTGTTGTTGGAACATAAACTCTTTGGTAAAGAACCGGAGAGACGATTATTCGCTAGAACCAAAAACTCAAGCTTATTCAAGCTCCAGAATCCTTCATGTATTTCTCCGGTGAGATAATTCTTGGACAAATCAAGGGTTTGAAGATTCTTCAAACCTGTTAATGTCTTTGGAATCGAACCCTGAAGATTGTTCCCAATCAAATTAAGGTATTCGAGAATGCGCAAATCGCCGAGTTGACTCGGTATCTCTCCGGAGAAGCTGTTGTTTGCCAAATTGAGTGTACGCAGGTTTCCGAGTCGACTCAGCTCCGTCGGAAACGATCCGTTGAGGCGATTCATTGCCGCGGAAAACGAAACGAGGCTGGTGCAGTTTCCTAACTCGGGCGGGATCGGTCCTTCGAGGTAGTTTTCGTGTAGACCCAAGAACTGCATTTTAACGAGTCGACCGAGTTGACTCGGTATCGGACCGGTGAGTCTACACATGGCCAAGGCGAGCATCTGGAGATTGACGAGATTCCCAAACGTCTCCGGGATTGATCCGACGAGTTCGTTGTTTCCGAGTTTTAATGACTTGAGGTTTACGAGTGAGCCGAGTTCACTCGGTATCTCGCCACTGAGTTGGTTAGTGAAGAGATGCAAAGATTCCAAGGAAGAAGAGAGGTTGGAGAGAGCAGCTGGGATGGGACCCACGAGGCTGTTGGCAGAGAGATCGAGTTGGGTTAGGTTATTAAACCGGCCAATCGAAGGAGAAATTGATCCGGTTAATCCCAAATTAGAGAGATTTAAACCCACGACCACACGACCATCGCATGTGACGCTGGTCCAGTTGCAGAAGTTGGGATCATCGGAATTCCAATCTCGGAGAACATCTTCTTCTTCTGGGTTTGTGAGAAATGACTTCTTGAGTTCGAGAAGAGTTTGACGATCGTCGGTTTGACCCGGTTGACCCAAACCGGACCCGATTAGAAAACAAAAGAGAAACAGAGCAAGTAGAGAATTTTGCTGCATTTTTCTTCTATCGTCTTCTTCTTCAAGAAACAAGAGATCAGTGAAAGTAGTGAATGAAGCTTCTTCGAGTTCTTCTAGTGATTACTAACGAGACTAGTGTTGGAAACATAGAGAATTTATGACAATTGTTGGTCTCTTTGGTTGAAGATGTTAAAGAAAGATGATTGGTCCTAAGAACGGTGCATGGGGACTCTCTCTCTCTCTATGTTTTTTCTCTCTCTATACATAAATACGCGCATATGTTTGTGTATATATATGGGTTTGATGTGGTGAGTTGGAGGAGAAGTAAATGGAGAAGATAAAGTGTTGGGATCGGCTATAAGGCTAAAACTGTATATATAGCCTTTTAAATGACAACACGCGAGTCTTTCTCTCTCTTCTTGTCTTCTGATCTTTCACTGTTTTACTGAGAGAGAGAAGAGAGAGAAAGTAAAGGGGGATGCATGAGGCAATGGGAAAGAGAAGAAGAAGGTCAAAGAGGGTCAGAGGAGAGACATTGGAAAATGCAATAGCAAGTGTCCTTCATTTATGTTGCGGCTGTGTCGTCAATGTATATGTCAATAACTCAAGATGTAGTATAAAATAAGATTTTTTGGATTTATTGATATAAGAATTTATTAGTAACATGCGAAATGGTGAAATGGTTATGCAAATCTGCAAAATTTTATTGAATGTATTGTATCTTCATTCTTTTATTATAGCGTGTCTTCAATGATAGAAAAAGGACAAACTGCTTTCTATTCTTATATTTTTGTGATTATGCGATCTAGTAGATATGAATTCACCTCCAGTCGAAAACAGAGTAAAAGAGTTGTAAAATTATGTTAGATGTTTGTGTATCTTATCCATTTTTAACCCTAATCTCTCCATTTTGTCTACAAAATTCAGTTTGATGAGAATTTTAGCTGTGTAAGTAATGATAAGGGGGAAAATATATTAATGAGTAAATAAGATATATATGTTGATGAAGGAAAAGGAAAATTGATATGGCTTTGACCATGGCCAAGGAAATAGAGTGGTTGAGATGAGAGAAGATGACTTGGTTGAAGGGTATTTCTTCAATTTCTGTTTTTGTTGTCAAGTATGTTAGCTTCTCATTACTCAAAGCCCTTTCATGAAAAAGAGAGCAGTTGTGTTTCTATATTTAGATTCATATATTTTTGTCGGCATACCTGTATATATATAAACCATAGCTAGTTTAGATTTTTATGAATCAACAAAATGGTCTGTAAAAACTAAACTATATATAAACTCTAAAATTTAAACCAAGAGCCTTAGATAGTAAACCCTAAGCCTGAAAATTAAATGTTTAAACAAAATGGTTTATTTCTTTGATTTTGTTCTCAGTTTTCATCTCTATAAAAAATTGCCAAGTCCAAGGGGTTCTCTCATCCACTTTTGTCATCACCACCGAACTCGGCAACACATTGGTTTGTTCCAATTTGATTCTCTTTGATATTTTCCCGATTTAATAAAAGATTTTGTAGATGTCATCTTTGAAATAAATGCAGAAGTATCTACTGATGAATTTGAATCACACCCGTGTTCATACACTCTATAGTCATTGGATTATGGTTTCTATATGTTACCAAGAAAGAGACATCAAAGTAATTATTTGATATTTCTTTTGCTTGAATGTTATATAGAGCACAATGCGGTGATGAAACTAATTGAACTTGTTATGTTTCTCAATCTAAAAAAGAAGATTATGAACTAAATTAAGGTCCAAGTCTTGGTTGACGATTGTATATATATGAATATATGAGTCTATATTTTTATTTTTACAGTTACTGGAAATTGTATATAGTCTAAGATCGATTAATATAAGTTTTAATATCTGATGTGAAGAGGGTGCTATGTCGTATTCATTGTGGTTAAATTTTTAAGGAATATGATAAAGTGTACAAACCCTTATCTAATGGAATAAATTAGCCTTTGTTAGTGTGATGTTCTTAATTGGGGAGGTTATTTCTGAAGTATGTTTAGTCTCAATTTGCATAATCAAATCCAACTGTTTTTAATGTAATTAAACGTTAGTTAACAATTTCATTATAATCATCTTCTTTCCTATTTTTGGCCCCTACTGATCAAACCAACCCATAAATAAGACAATATATAGGTCATCAATCCATCTCACAGCATTGGGCTTTTGGCTACTATAATATGTGATATGGTTGTTCACGTGTGGCTCTAATCAAAAGATAACTTATCGTTAAAGTAAAACCTTTTTTTTTTTGGTTACGTACCAAAATTTTGCATGTTTGAGATAAACGTTTTTTAAAAAGAGAATACTTACTACTTAACATATATAATTATATGTTGTTTTAGGGATCCAAACTCAGACTAAGCATCATCAAATTTCTACCAGTTTCAAAGAAAATAACTAACATATGTTAACCATTACTTCTCAAAACTAATAAATTTTATGGTTTTGAACTGTAGTTTCTTCAAATCTAAAATCACCAAAGGTTATACGTTTGATCAGCACAAAAGCTGAGTTTAAAGTTTGTTACATATATATTAGTAAAACTTACTCATAGCATCAAAGCTTTCATAGCTCAGTTGGTTAGAGCACCCGTTTAGTAAGCGGGAGGTCTTGAGTTCAACTCTCAATGAAAGCAGCGTCATTCTTTTCAATTTTTTGTTCCCTCTAGTTTTTAGGGTAATTGCCGAACATATCCTCTAATTTTCAATATGTATAGAAATGGACTATCAATTTAAAAACTTTCAAATTACGACCCTTCCTACTATCGAAGGCTTTTGGGATTTATTTCTCTTAGTCCTCCCGGTTTTACAGTCTCGCCGTCTCCGACTCTCTCCTTCTTCTCTCGTCGCCGTCGCTATTGCTTCTGTTTTCGGTAAGTTTCTTCCTCCTTTTCTTCTTCTCTGTCGAGATTCAACTCATTGCCAATGGTGAAAATGGTCTTATTTTTTGTCCCCCAAGTTTTAATAACTCGGGCATGGAACGTGCTCGATGAAATGTCTCAAAGAGTACATCTTTGATTCATAACGACATGCTTTATGCTTTTCTTTCGTGATTCCTGTTTCCGGGTCTAACATTAATGTGATCCTTCATAGTTTTTGTTTCCGTATTCACCAAATTGTTCAAATTGTAGGAACTTTACCCAGATTCGTCTGGATCTAACGCTAATGTTTCAGTCTTGAAATCGAAAAATCCTGTATTTAGAGACTAATGTTAGGGAAACGGGACCTAGTTATGAAGAATCGTTGCTTAGAGTTGACCTCAGTGACATAGAAAGTATAAACCTTTATTGCAGGGAGCATCAAGTTTTTACCTTTGTATCCGAAAAGAATATCTCTGAGTCTTTTGATTGTTGTGTTTTCTGTCTTTCCTGTTAAACTTATCAGCCTACAATGTGTGATTTTGCAAATTTGATTGATCATGTTTCATTGTGTTATCTTTACTTTAACAGGTAGCTTCAAGGAAGATGGCTAGTGGAAGCCTGAAAAGACTTGTATCTTCAGCAGTCACTCTTGGTGTGACCGAAGCAAGAGCAAGGATTTTTGGGCATATGCTTAACCCAATGGGACAGAGATCTCCTCATAAGATACTAAGGAAGAAGCTTTTTGGTGATAAGGTTGCAGAATGGTATCCATACGACATCAAGAATGAGGATCCTAATGTCTTGGCTAGAGAAGAACAAGTGTACTTTTCCGAAACCTTTCTTGTTTTTTTTTGTTTGCTTTCCCTATAGTGCAAACAAGTCTTAGAGTCAATTCGAGTGGACTGAAGCAATGCCTAGATAACATATTTCCATAAACCTTGCGTTAGTCTAGTGTACGAGTATTGTAATTACACTGGTGGTTTTGTAACTTTGTTGACATCTCATCAACTATAGTTGATTCTGTCTCGCTAGAGAGCTAACAGCGTAAAAGGAAACTTAGGCAGAAGGGTTAAGCGTTCTTGATTGGTCTAGGATCTTGGTTTGGGATTAAGAGAATTTAAGGTGCTCTAGAATTTATACCAGTGTTCTATCAGTTTGTTCTCTGTTCATCTTCTGTAATTGATTCAGGGAGTCAATAAAGGGAGAATCATTTCTTGTTCTTATCGGCAATGTATGTATGAAATACAGGGAATGAGAAAGAAACATGATATAGGAACTATGAGTGTTGTACTTGAATGGTTGTGTTACGTGAGGCTTATGCAGAGTCGTGTGCTTGAGTTTCTGTGGTGAAATGCATCGTCAAAGTAGCTTTAGGACATCGGAATTATGTGTGTTTGCGGATATGTTCTTACTGTTGTGTGTTGTGTGTTGTGTGTAGGCGCATATCGAAGCTTGAAATGTTGAAGCGTCGTGACAAAGGACCGCCAAAGAAGGGTCACGGAAAACGTGCTGCGAAGCGTAACAAGTAGAAACTGTAGTAATCAGATTCTCTGGTGAAATCAGATAGAACTTATTAGTAAAAGTCTCTCTACATAAATTGTTCTCATGCCTAAACTGCATTGGTTTGAAATGTTCTTTACTATGCTGAGAACAAAGTTGAAAGCTATGTCCTGTCTCTTTTGACTTGGTATCAAAATTTAAAGATGGGCTCTTTTTGTTTCTCATTTTTTAGTATACTTTGCTTTTCTTTAGTATCCACAAGTTGATATACTTGTGTTGTGTCACAAACCTTGAATTCAAATCCAAAACTATGCGTATGAGTTGTCGATTGCAAAGAAAATGTCGTCTTTAACCAATTTTATTTTGTTGTTGTTTTTGCCATTTTTGCTAAAAGTGATAATAACATTCATTGAATGGGTTATTCCAGAAAAGTTAAAAAAATAAACGAGTTTTGAGATGGTTGGTGTAACCAGTCTTCTAATATAGTCCACGTGCGTTAAATGCTTTGAACTCATACGAACCAGTCGAATTCTTGATTGTCCTTCTGTAGTCACCTAAACTAAAAGGTTCTTCAAGAGAATTTCGGCGGGGAGAGATGGAGCAAGAACTGAAGATTCAATCTTTGTTCATTTATCCGATCAAATCTTGCCGTGGAATCTCTGTCCCTCAAGCAACCGTTACTCAGACTGGTAAATGAAGAACAATTCTTTATTTTTTCTTTTCGTTTAATTCCTGAGAAAAAAGTTCGGTTTTATAGTGTAATTGGCATGAGAAAAAGTCTGGTTTGACTTTTGAACATTCTTGATTTTCTTGGATATTGATCGGGTTCTGTTCCGTTATATAAGTTATGGGTTCGATGATTCCGGAAAAGGGTCTTGTTTGATTTGAGGATTATAATGACTTGAAACAATAAAAATTCTTCTTTTTTTCTTACTGGCCTGAACATTCTCATTTCTGTTCCCTTATACGTGGGTTTGATGATACTAGAAAAGGGTCTTGTTTAATTAGATGGAAAATGTACAAATTATATGAGGAAGTGAACTATTTTTTCCGGGAAAATGCTATTGGTAAAGGTAAAATGAGAGTGAGCACCAAAAAAAAAGTTTTCATTTTTATTTGTTGGCGTGAACAGTAAAGCTTCTCAGTCCCAAGAAAGTGGTCTTGTTTGGATGGAAAATGAAACAAAGCTTCTATGAAAGTGAACAACTTTTCCGGAAAATGCTACTAAATAGGCTTTTATTGTTCTTGATAAGAAACATGATTCCCATGAATGTTAATGATGGAATGTTTGAGTACAAGTTGTCTTGGTGTGGATCTGATGGATGATTTCTTGAGCTTAATCTGTGGAAACTGATGTAGGGTTTCAATGGGACCGGTATTGGTTAGTTGTGAACTACAAAGGAAGAGCATACACTCAAAGAGTTGAGCCAAAGCTTGCTCTTGTCGAACCGGAGTTGCCAAAAGAGGCTTTCTTGGAAGATTGGGAGCCAACGAAAGACTCATTCTTGGGTAAATTTCTGTTAAAAGATGTTACATAACTCTTGTCTGAATCGAGGCTCGAACTCATAATCTTTGATGATTTCATTTTGTATAGTGGTAAGAGCTCCTGGTATGAGTCCGTTAAAGATTCCAATGACTAAACCAAGCTCGGTGGCTGAAGGTGTGTCCATGTGGGAATGGTCTGGCTCTGCTTTTGATGAAGGTGAAGAAGCAGCTAAATGGTTTTCAGATTATCTCGGCAAACAAAGCCGTTTGGTTCGGTTTAACAAAGGTCCTGATAAATTTTTGTTTCTGAATCTTTTCAATTGCAACAGATTTAAAATGAACATAACTGATCAAGTTTTTTGAAAAAACTTTGTACACAGAAACTGAAACTAGACCTTCACCTCCTGAGTTTGCAGCAGGTTACTCTACAACATTTGCAGATATGTTTCCGTTTTTGTTTGCATCTCAGGTGAGCCATTATCGATAAATCATTTCAGTAATCGGTTAATGAGAGAATACACATTTGATTTTCTTCATTTTGCTTTCTGTTCTTAGGCTTCTTTAGACCAACTGAATACACTTCTACCAGAACCGGTGCCTATTAACCGTTTTCGACCAAAGTAAAACTGTCATTCATCCAGAGTTCTTCTTATTATCTTTTAATGAAGGATGTTCTGTTCACAATCTTGATCTTCTTGTTTCTCTCTGTAGCTTTCTTGTCGATAATTGTGATGCTTTTGGTGAAGATCTTTGGGAAGAAATCAAGATAAACGACTTAGTCTTCCAAGGAGTTAGGCTATGTAGCCGCTGCAAGGTGAGTAACGATGCGGAAAGTACAGCACATAAAGCACATTCAGATTCTCAACTTGAAGGTTTTTGTTAAATTGTTTTGTAATTTCAGGTACCAACTGTGAATCAAGAAACCGGAGTTCCAGGTGCAGCAGAACCAACTGAAACTCTGATGAAATTCAGATCAGACAAAGTATTAATGCCAGACAAGAAACCGCGCGGAAAGGTTAGATATAAGCTCTTCTTGTCTGCTTTTGAGAAGAGACTTGTTGGTTTCAGTATGATGCTAAACCGATTCAAGAAACTGATATCAAATGTCGGTTTATTGACAGGTTTTCTTTGGCAAGGAGATGGTTTGGAATTGGAACATGGCCAACAGTGAAGGCAAAGGCAAGAAGACAATCAAAGTTGGTGATACCATCTCTGTCCTGAAGAAGATGCCTTCCAGAGCTGAAGCAGCCGTTTAACTCAAAAACTTATTTCCTTTATGTGTTATGTTTGTTAACTCTAAATAAAGAAAAGTGAGAGAGAGAGAGAGAGAGATACTTGTTTGCTCATGTAAATCACAAACCTTCACTTTGTTGTTGAGATACATCTTTGTTGAAAGTGTGCTTTTTGTTTGTTTGAATAGTTCTAATTGATAATTGAGCTTTGAAAACAGAGAAGAAACAACAGAGATACTTGAGGAAGAAAGATGACCGATCTAAACCAAAAGACTTTTAAACCGATAATAAACCAGCTCAATAAATCACATCTATTTTAATTGGGCTTCGGTTTACTTTACTCTTGTTTGTGCTTGTACCAAGAATTGTATTGTTCACAGATCAAAAAGCTTCTTCATTTCAATCTTCCTTGACCCTCGATCTGAATCTGTCTCGCAGGTACTTTTTCAATTTTTCTCCTTTACTCGTCGATTATTGGATTTTCATCTTCAGATGATTTTCAATGTCGTCACTGACATAGGTTTTCTGGGTTTTCGATGTTTTGGTTCTCGATTGATTCGCAGTTGAGTTTTACATCGCTAACTATACTGAGACCGTCGATATTTCTTCAATGTGCTAATAATTGTGTAGAAAGTGTTTCTTTTTCAAAGCAAGAAATGAAAGGAAACAACTTTATCCTCATATGCTGAATCAACACTCATGATCCAGGACATGACTTTTCGGAATCCTGAACTTGATAATCTGTGTTTTGTTCCATTTTGATTTTTGTATTCTTAGGAAGGAGACACAAAATCTAAGTTACTTCAATTTGGAGACGAGAGATTAGATGGCTAACACTGCCTGCTTCATAATCGTGGGTCGGAATGATATTCCCATCTATGAAGCTGAAGTTGGATCTGTTGCTAAAGTAAATCTCCTACTTTACTTTCACTATATACTCTTTAGGGACCGAGAAAATGAATCTGAATCTTTAAAGTTTGTGTAGTGTACATGTACATACTCCTGCTTTTTTTGTTTGCATCCATGTTCTGAATCTCTTAACATGATTAGTATATATTCCACAACATACTTCCCAGCTCCTTCTTTTGACATTAGATTCAAGCTCACAGTTTAAATCTCCAGGATTTTGAGATATCATTGTTGTTCATGTAGCTTGTGGTTTGAAAAGGGTGGCTATTACTCTTGTTTAGTGAAGGAACGTTTTCACACTGTCTTACATTTAAATGGAACAAGCAAGCATGCAATTTTCTTACTTCTCTTAAGATCATCTAAGCTTGCTGAACAGGAATTGAATTAGTAATCGGTTTCTGGTCTTTCGTATGGTTGATTATACTTGCTTCTCTTTTTTTTGGGTTTGATCTTTTCATTTACCTGGTAGATATATGTGTAGCAATTGGTGTGTTGTTTGACTTATCAGTCTCTCACACCATTCTTTTGTATTTGGTAGAGAGAAGATGCTGCTCAGTTGCACCAATTTATATTACATGCTGCGTTAGATGTCGTCCAAGACCTAGCATGGACTACAAGTGCCATGTAAAGTATATTCTTCTGTTGTGCAGTATTTGAAGGATTCATTGATCTCATTATCATATATAACTCTTCAGGTTCTTGAAGTCAGTCGACAGGTTTAACGATCTGGTTGTGTCAGTGTATGTTACTGCAGGCCATATCCTTTTTTCTTGAAACCAAAATAGCAAAAAGCAAATCATTTTTTTTCTTCTTGTTCTTCTGATATATGATTCATCCATCTAAATAATGTCTTAGATTGGTCTCTGTTGGGTCCAGTTTTAAATGTTTGGTTGTTCCTTAATTTATCAACACATACTCGTCTCATGCTCCTTCATGATTCACGCAATGAGGACGGCATCAAGAGTTTCTTTCAGGAGGTCCATGAGCTTTACATAAAGGTAGAAAGAGGTCTTGATTGATGAATTCGCAGTTCTTGGTTCTGTCTTGATTTTGTTGCACAAATCTATTGCATCACCATTGTGGAAATCGTTTTTTAATGCAGATTCTTCTGAATCCCTTGTATCTTCCCGGTTCTCGCATCACATCTACACATTTTGACACCAAGGTACGCGCACTCGCAAGAAAGTATCTTTAGAGAAGACGAAGATTGTGTCCGAAGCCCAAATTTCTTGGATTCGTATCGCAATTGTTTGTCTTTTATGTTTAATGTTGGATGTGTGTTAATTATAACTTTCAAGCACATTTCAATGTTTAGTATGAGAAATGATCATTCAATCCAACTTCATAGTCTCTCCTTTGTATTATCAAAAAATATTACTACTATACGGGTTTCAAGGATCTTGCAAGATTTATAAGACGAGACATCTGTAAGCAAGAAACTTTGTTACCAAAACAAGAACACGAAAGAGCCAAAATGTTCAAACTACACAATACACATTAGATTTCATACTTAAGAGAGGTCTTTTCTTCAAAATTTAAACTTGTCAGACAACAAAAGTTATTAAACAGCAACCAAATCAAGAAGCACAATGACAATAGCTCCAGCTTCTCTCCGGTCTTTAGCAGCTTCTGTCTTAAACCTGTTGAGCATGCATCCTAATACTCTTGCCCAGAACAAGATCTTTTCACAGACTGTCTTTGAACACTTAAAACTGCATTGGTTTACTATGCCGAGACAAAGTTGAAAGCTATTTGCTTCCCTCTGTTTTTACTCTGCTTTTCTTTGGTTTTTAGTACGCACAAGCTGATGTAATGCATCTTGGGAAATACTAAAAAAATACTGTAGATATCATCATATAATATTTTTAGATAACATTTTTTTTCTTTTTTTGGTGAACATTCATTGAATGTGTTAGTCCAGAAAAAGTTAAAAAGAAACGACCTTTTTTTTTATTATGGTTGGTGTAGAAGTCATCTTGAAACACTCTACTAAACTACAAGATTCTTCCAAGTGTTATTAACATTGTTTGAGAAAAAAACTCGGCGGAGAGAGAGAGTGAGGGAGATGGAGGAAGCAACGAAGATTCAATCTTTGTTCATTTATCCAATCAAATCTTGCCGTGGGATCTCTGTCTCTCAGGCAACCGTAACTCATAGTGGTATATTAAGAACATACGATTCTGTCTTCTTTTGTTCATTTAAATGTAGATAATAATGATTGTTCTTGACTAAGAAGTTGTCTTGTTATGGATCTAAATGGATAGTTTAACCTGTGGACTCTGATGTAGGATTTCAATGGGACCGGTATTGGTTAGTTGTGAACTATAAAGGAAGAGCATGCACTCAAAAAGTTGAGCCAAAGCTAGCTCTTGTTGAATCAGAGTTGCCAAAAGAAGCTTTTTTTGAAGATTGGGAGCCAACAAAGGAATCATTTTTGGGTAAGTTTTACAAAAGTATTTGTCTGAATCAAAGACTCTTTGAGTGATTTATCTTTCTTTGTTATATCATTTTGTATAGTGGTAAGAGCTCCTGGTATGAGTCCGTTAAAGATCCCAATGACTAAACCAAGCTCGGTGGCTGAAGGTGTGTCCATGTGGGAATGGTCTGGCTCTGCGTTTGATGAAGGAGAAGAAGCAGCAAAATGGTTTTCAGATTATCTCGGAAAACAAAGCCGTTTGGTTCGGTTTAATCAAGGTTTGTTCTGTTCTTGTGATCTTTTTCATAAACAACTTAGTTTGATGGCATGGAGCTGATCATAAGTCTTATAAAAACTTTTGTACAGAAACTGAAACTAGACCATCACCTCCTGAGTATGCAGAAGGTTACTCTACAACATTTGCAAATACGTTTCCGTATATGGTTTCATCTCAGGTGAGAGAATGTTGATAATCCCAATATCTGTAAACTAGAATATGCATTTGATCTTTCTTTGCTTTTTTTTTGTTCTTAGGGTTCTTTAGACCAACTGAATACACTTCTACAAGAACCGGTGCCTATGAACCGTTTTAGACCCAAGTAAACTATCATTCATCCCAACTTTTTAATATCTTTGTTTTGTTCAACTACTTGATCCTCTTGTTTCTCTTTGTAGTATTCTTGTGGATAATTGTGATCCTTTCGGTGAAGATCTTTGGGATGAAATCAAGATTAACGATTTAGTCTTCCAAGGAGTTAGGCTATGTAGCCGTTGCAAGGTGAAAAAAGTAAAGTACACTCAACATTCTTTAACATGAAGAGTTTTTTTAACTGTTCTGTTCTCTCAGTTACCAACTGTGAATCAAGAAACCGGTGTTCCGGATGCAACTGAACCAATTGAAACTCTGATGAAATTCAGATCAGACAAAGTCTTAATGCCAGACAAGAAACCACGTGGAAAGGTTAAGATATATGAGATTCTTTAAAGATTTCAAGCTCTTGTCTTGTTCATGACATGCTAAACCGATGATATCGGTTTCGGTTTCTGACAGTGTTTCTTTGGAAAGGATATGGTTTGGAATTGGAACAGAACCAAAAACGAAGGCAAAGGAAAGAAGACAATCAAAATTGGTGATTCCATCTCTGTCCTAAGGAAGATCCATTCCAGAGCTGAAGCTGCTGTTTAGCTGTACGTTGTGTTATCATCTCATAATAAAGTAAAGAGAGAGAGAAACTTTCTTGCTTATGCAAATTACAAAACTTCATTTGTTCTGAGATTCATCTTGTTGAAAATGTGACTTTGTTTGGTTTGAAATTGAATAGTCTTAATTGATATTTGAGCTTTTGAAACCTGAGGACTTTGATTAGATCAAGAAGCCATTGAAATGTGCAAATACTACAATACATCAGATCCATACTTAAAAAGAGAGAGGTCTCTTGTTTTAAGATTTCAACTTATCAGACTCCAAAAGTTGTTGAACAGCAACTAAATCAGGAAGCACAATAGCTCCAGCTTCTCTCCAGTCTTTAGCAGCTTCTGTCTTAAACCTATCAAGCAACAAAGCATGCATCCCAATACTCTTGGCCGGAACATAATCTTTACGCATACTGTCTCCGATATGCAAAACCTCATCAGGCGCAAGGTTCCCTGCTCTCTCTAGCGCCATCTTATAAATCCTCGGATCTGGTTTCTCTACCCCTTCAATGCCAGAGAACACACCAAAGTCCCACTCTCCCTAAAACCAAACCAATCAAAATAAAAACTTGAGTCAACCTTCTAATAACCTTAAGAACCAAACACATTCACAATGAGAGACTCTTTTCACTACCTTGTTCAAACCTAAAGCAGGTAAAATAACTTCTTGGTATCGATACTCTGCGTTGCTAACAAGTCCGACTATAAGCCCTTTACTGCGAACCCATCTCAAGAACGGTCGAGAATCTTGAAACACAGAGTAAGGTGCAGCTGAACCAAACGTCGAATAGATTCTCCTAAATACTTTCTCAAATGTCTCCTCATCATAGTCATATCCTGCCTAATTACATCAAACCCCTTAACATCAAAGAAAGCAACACACATACATATACACACAACATCAAAGAAGAATATCAAATCAAATACCTTGACAAATGAGTCTTTCACGCAAGTTTTCCACCAAACAATGTTTGGCATTTTCGCATGGAAACCGAAACAAGGGTACTTTTGTGCCATGTCTGTGTAAGCTAGCTTGAAACCTTCATGGACTCGTTTATAATCAGGACAAGGCAAGCCAATGGCTTTAGCTGCCATACAATAGTAATCACCAAGCTCTCCTTTGTAAGCTATGAGTGTACCGGTTACATCTACTGTGATACACTTCAATTTCGATAACAGCGACATTGCTTTACACATTTCTTTCACCAAATCTGCATAAAACACACAAAAAGATTATCAATTTGTTAAGTGATGGATGCAGATAACGAAAGATTAAGCTCCTAAATGGCTGATTCTTCACCTACCAAAAAGTCTCTTTTCATGCGAGTTTCTTTAGACATTGACGTAATCGAAAATAGGGATGAAATTTACAGAGGAAATCTGATTCAATTTCAGGGGGTGTTGATTAATTAGAGCAGGATCAAAATAACAAGCAATAAATGATGGATTCAAGGAAAGTATCAATGTCATACAGTAGAATCTTATTATTATCAAATGTAGGGACACAACAACACAAAGACGAAATCTTTTTCGCAAGAAACAAAAGCTAAAAGAAAAGCACGAAAGTTTTCTGGAAACACGTGAAGGAGAGAGAGGGAGATTTGATGTACCCAGAAGCTGAGAATCAAGGAAATATCTGGGATTTTACATAGAGCAAATCGCCGTTGGTTTTGTTTTTCCTGGTTTCTTCTTCTATTGGGTTATCTTCTAAAGCTTAAGCTACACTGAAATGATAACACGAAGACTCTCTTTGTGTATATATATACAAAAAGAAATTGAACAGAGAGATGCGTGTTTACGTGTGCTTGCGCACACAGATAAAGTTCTAAGAAATTAGGCAGCTAATAGAATTTTTAACCACAATTATTAATTTTGGTGTTAGATTAGATTCCTTGAGAAATCGGACACTCTTTGTAGACTTTAATCGTAATTAATTGCATTTTTGGAGAGCAAGTTCGAGGGTATGATGGTAAATTTGTACACAGAAGGAGAAAAAGAAATACAAATCCATTGGATATGGCATGGTAGTGGCCTGCTGTATTGTCTAAACCCGAAAACGGTTTCACGTTTTCGATATTTATTTTAATTTTTTTATTTATTTCTTTCTTATTAATGATTTTATCTTTTATCTTTTTCTTATTTCTTATTATAAATGATTTTCTTATGTAATAATGTGATAGAGCTATCATTTTAGATTTTTATCCCATTTTGAATCTGAGATACTTACATACATGAATTTTTCAATTTATTACGAATCAAATCTTATTATTTTGAATATAATAACTCTTTTTTTGTGGTCAAACGAATATAATAACTCTAAAGATATAAAATTACAAGACCAAATCTCATAACAAGACAAGGACTAAACAGTATTTACAGTCAACCACAAGACACACAAGACCCTGAAACTATCTGTTCAATGGTTGAAAATAGTGAGCAATGCTTGAAGCAGAACCATCACTTTTACCTTTACCGGTATTAAACCGCTTATTAGGTCGTATGAAACTCCTGAGCTCTCGTTGAATCTCAACCGGTAATTCATCCATAACCGACTGATCGATTTCATCAATCTTATAGCCCCAATCTTGATTCACTTCACCACAATGGCTGCTGCTGCTACTAAAGTTGGCTCTTTTACTGGTTGATGAGGACACTGTGGAATCTTCTTGAGTCTCTTGCTTTGATTGAGGAGTTGCATTGTTGTAATTCTTAAAGATGTCGACGATTGAAGGCATTCCCTAAGAAACAAACAAATCTCAGCAAAGGTAGAAGCTTTTTTGTGTGAACTAAACAAAGCGATGATGAGTTGCTTACCAGATTCTGTTCTTTCGAGTTGTTTATCTTCCTCCCAGTTTTCTTTATCTGTGTCCCTTTGTTTGATTGTGATTGTGATTGTGATTGTGTAGGTACATCTGTTGCGTTGTTCGATGGACAAAAGACTACATCCTGATAAGGAAACTGTGGAATTAGTTCTTCAAGGATACATCAATAACTTGATAAGACAAGACAACTTGAGAAGAAATGCTCTTGAGTCATTCAAACACATTACTAAAAAATCCCTTTATATTTTCTGAAAACTGAGAGCATTACGTACTTGTGTCTAATTATGTTTAGCCATTTTGTTGCTAGATTTCTAGCTCTACTAAACGTCTAGAAACGCTCACAATATGCTTTAGAGAAATGAGTGAAAATACCTTTTCAGAGACTAAGTCATTGTCTTTATATTGGTTTTCGGAATTAGGTAAAGTATAAGTTACACTGGTGTCTTCTTCAGGCACTGTAGCTTGGGTTTCTACTGATCTCTGTTCTGAACAACCTTCACTAGCTGCATCAGTTGCAAGAAAATATCATGAGATTAAGTTACCGAATCAAGAGAAAAAGAGAAAGTTCAGAAAGTATACAGAAAAACTCCAAATTACCCGAGGGAGTCATCGCTACATGTTCTTGAACACAACCATCTGCTGCACAAGAAGGAACAGTAGATTGACTTTGAAAATATCTCATTATCGAGCTTGTTCCCTACGATCATAAAATATCACTTTTGACCAAAATCAGTGAAGAAACCAGCTAATGTTTGATGGGGTGGTCAGTAACTAGAAGGAAGAGATTTTAGTAGCTATAAGAACTTACAGATGGTATATCCACAATTTTACTTGCTGAAACAGAAAGACCTGTTATTCTCCAAGTCTCTTGCTTATTCCCTTGAGGTTTCATCCCGAAAGTTCCCATGTACTCACGCAACGCGGCTTGGAACAAGTTAAACGCATCTTCTTGGATCTTGGCTACTCCATATCTCAGTGGACATGATTTTGATGGAAATTTCTTGTGAGAATCTGAATCCTTTGACTGCATTATATTTCAACACAAACATGTTTTAAGTTAGTCTTTTGCAGAGAAAATGATACATAACGAGGCAAAATGTTTGTGCAATCTACAAATACAGGAGAAGAATAGTTACTCTGAAAGCGCTAGCATGAAGGGTAAGGGTGCTTGCCATCCGCTTATTCTGCTCCACGTCAGAACTGAGACGCTCGCTTAGTTCTTCTGAAAGCGAGTTCAGCCAATGCTGAACCTAAAAGTGTAGCATAGAAGACATAGAAATGATTAAAAACCTTTATATGATATAACCAAAGAGCAAAAACAAGCTACTTTTGCATTTTCTCTTATAGGACCTATCAAGTAAACCAATTCAGAGAAACAAAAGTGCAAAATCTGGCTGAGATTCAAAGCCTTACAGTTGAGAGTGACTTCAAAGCACGAGGTCCGGGAAATGTCTTTCCAGAACCATGGCTTTTGGGGAGAAGACGGCCTTGCACTTCTTCTCCACTGATCCCTCTTGAGATATTCCATAACCAAGTACTACAAGTCCAGAATAAAATCAGATTATTATTTAATAAACTTTGTTACTGGAAACAACAGGCGAACAAGAACGAGTTGCAAGCAAGCAGGCTAGACGTTCGAAAATCGGTCAAAAACATCGAACAATCTGCAATAGCCTATTGAGTCCAAAGAGAGCAGGTTTCTATCTTTTCCAAAGCTATTACCCAGTATTTACGCCGTAATGTTCTTGCAGCTTTGTTTCAGAAAACTGCAACAAGTCTCCCACTGTGTCAACTCCCAAGTCAGTTTGCAAGCTAGTGCCCAGCTTTCCTCCCAATTGTTTCCTGCAAGATATACGTAGTTTTCAGAACACAGCGATATTGATACCAAATCTTTGCCAGCTTCATAGATAAAGTAACATGCGAATGACACAAATTCTTTAACCTTACGTACATTTTCTTTATTGGCAAGGAACTGAGTAACTCCTGTACAGCTGAATATGGCACAACTGTTTGCTGGGCAGGTTTGTTCATTCCACTAGAGAGTTTGGCTAGCATCTGCTTGTTAAGTTCTGTGTTGTTACTCGCTGTACAAGCGATAAAAGAAACAAAAAACAACGAAAAAGTAAATAGCTTCTTGCCTTGTTATGTGCAATACCAGCAGAACAACTAAACTCAGTCTCCTTAAGCACTTGTTTCCGGAGTTCTGCAACAATGATCATTCCGCATCCCAATAACTTATCACGCCGATCAGCATCTTTTCGACATATCCACTCACGAACACTCTCCTTAAAATCATCTCCATCCTAAATCAACTCCCAAAGAAACAGTATCAAACCTCTCTGCTCATCCTGAATCAAATTCTTGACGAAGATTAGCAATCATACCTCTCTGCTCATTCCAAGAATATGGGATTTAAGAGCTTCTTCGTCTATAGACTCCAAACTCTCTGGAGGCGCATCGGCGAGCATGCTCTCTGCTGCATCGGTGAGGTCAAGATACACTTCATCAATCGAAGCCCTCTCACATCTACCGCTTTGAGCTAGAATCGAAACCACCTGCGGAAAAAACACATAGAATGAGATAAACTTCTCACCAAATGTTATTGCTATAGACAAAAACATGTTATAACTTCCACTGCATCCGACCTCTGAACCGGCACTACGATATGTATTGAGGTCAGCTTTACCACGAGCCACGGGAACTTGAACGAGTTGAATCTCAGGGCAAGCAGCTTTAGCCTCATCACCTCTCATCGACCTGAAAAAAAAATTCATCCAAAACAATCTGGAGGAGCGAAGCAATCTCTTAATTAAGAAAGACTAACCGCTTTACGCCGCATTTACGAGCTTCGTAGCTAACAGCAATCAAACCACCGCCTTGCCATTCGTTGTACTGTACAACTGCAGTAGGAAGTCCCCGTAGCTCCGGTTGCCTCCGTTGCTCCACTAAATCATTTACACTCAATAAATCCAACAATCAGGTAAGAAAAGGACAGAATTTAACAAAAACCCAAAATCCCTAAATAAGAAAGGAAACAACTTTAGCATAATCCATGTTCGAAATACCCCAAACCCCTAAACAAACGCAAGAACGCCAACGAGAAAAAACAAATCCCTTTTAGAGAAATTGAAAACCCAGAATTCCAATAATTCAAATTCGATTCGTAAGAGCTACAATTTGTTGCTTTCTCTCAGTAAAGCGTGCAGCGACTGTATATACTTCGGGTTAGAGAGAGAGAGAGAGACCTTGAACGTAGAAGCAATCCATGTCGACATGAGCGATAACTCTAGCATCCGATGTCTCCGGTCTCGCTACCGGCATTTTTCTTCACAGAATTCGAACTTCCCGGTTCCAAATCCGTCGCAGAAATCAAAAAGTGATAGAAACTATTAGAAAGGGAACAAGAAAGGGGTATAAACTTTTCTGTCCACCGAGAAAGGGTTTTTTTTTTTCGTGGGAGTAGCGCGCGAAAATAATAATATGCAAAATGCCCCTTCAACTAATATGTTTTGCTAGGATAACCCCTGAACTATGGAACCTACAAAACACCACACACCTTTCATCTTTTCTTAATACCAGTCCCGACACTAATCGATGATGTTATTATTTATTAATACTACAACGGATTTTCGAAAAAATGATATTCGTTTTTATGTTAACCAATCGTGATAAACATAATTTAAAAAAAAATTCAGATTGTACTCAGAGCCGTATACCTACATTTATAGAGGCCAGATGCGGTAACTAAAAGAGTACTCAATATCATATTAAACCAAAAATGTTTACTATAATATTATTTTTATTAAAGTAATTATATTTATTTTAAGAAAAAAAACTGTAAGAATTTTTAGATAATAAATTGTAACTTTTCATAAATAAAAAAATCAATAAAAGAAGAAAATTCAAGAAAAAATCAAAGTTTACATATGAAAATGATTTGTATACAATTTAAAAAAAAATGTTCAACAAAATGCGGTGTTAATATAAATCTATCTAAAAATTAATTTTAAAAAGAAGCAGTACAGTTAGCATTAGTTATACAGTATTATGTGTAATAGAAACTATTAAAAATTTAGAATTTAAAAACACATTTATATATGAAAAAAACTTCTTCAATAATTTCTTTTGAATTTGGGGTCGTAGGCCAATGTTTCTTTCTATTCAACGTAGGCACGCCCTGATTGTACTTTATCCTTAACGATTTAGGTTATTACGATTGGTTAAAGATAATACTATTATTAAGTTATGGGGGTTTATGAAACAAAATTACAATTTTGAGTACTAAACTGAAAAAGTGTGTGTTTTGTACCCACTGGGTGTTAAGATTTCAGTCATTTCACGAAAGGGCAAATTCCGTTGAAAGCTTCTCCGTCTCGCTCTGGGTCTCTGCAATGAAGCGTAGCTTCGGTTCCAATTCCTCAGGGAATAGTGGGAGCAACAAGAAGACTAAGAAGAAGATTCCGAGCAATCAGAAAACCCTAGGTGCCGCATGGGGCGCCGCTTCTCTACCTTCCTCTCGCTCTTCTTTTCGGTCTTCTCCATTTTCGGATTTCGGAAGGTCTTCTTCTCTCATTCTCTGGAAATCTATGGTATTGTTTTATAGTGTTTGGTAGTGGTAGAATCTGAAATTAGGGTGTTAAAGCTGGAAAATTCGTCTGAAAGTGTTGATCTTTACAACGATTTGAAAATGGTTTTGCACTTGTGAGTTTAAATTTTGGAAATTTGATGAATTTAGAAAGAAGTAAAATTCATTTTGATGTTTTTGAATTTTTATGATATTCTATGTTTTTTTTGTTCTGTAGTTACATGGAAGTGAAAAATCGGAAACTTCAGAACCAATATGATACTGAGGCTACCACTTCTTCTTATGGTGTTTCGGGTTCTGAGAAACTTATATTCCAAGGGGTTTCAATCTTTGTGGATGGTTTCACCATTCCTTCACATCAGGTTTTAGCTCTATTACTATGGCTTTTCTTAGTTTTATCTAAATTGTCGCAGTTGCAAATAGACCTTATCAGTGGTTTTAACAGTGTCTAGATGTGTCTAGGAATTGCGAGGTTACATGATGAAGTACGGTGGAAGATTCGAGAACTACTTTTCTAGGCGTTCTGTAACACATATCATCTGCAGTAACCTTCCAGATAGTAAAGTCAAGAATCTAAGGTCAGTTGTTCTTAGCTTCTTGAAACTCTTGGGCCGGCTAATCTCTTTCAAGTTCGTGTCTTGAAATGGTTTTTTATTTGTTTCCAATCAGAGCATTCAGCAGAGGCTTACCTGTTGTGAAACCCACATGGATAGTGGACTCTATCTCTGCCAACAGACTACTGGGATGTAAGTCAACACAAGACGATTCAGATTCACTTCAGTAAAAATATTTGGATTTGATCATTTGTTTGCTGTCGTCATTGTATGCATTCATTCATCATTGCTCATATTTGTTTGTTCATCTGCTTTAATGCTTTGTGTTGTTGATTATTACTTCTCAGGGGTTCCTTACCAGCTAGATCAACTGAATGATACCCAGCCGAAGTTGTCTGCCTTTTTTGCACCCAGAAGCCATTTGACTCCTCACGTGGCTTCACCGGTTACATCTTGTCAGCCTGAAACTGGATACAGTGAAGCTGAAGAAGGAAGTTCAATTAGAGCAGAAGAAGGAAGTTCAATTAGAGCAGAAGATTCAGAGGAATCAAGAGACCACGTTGATGATGAAATTGATGGCGTTTGTGTTGAGAACACTACTCCAGAAATGACAGAACAAACAAGAGCTGATGATCTGATATCTTCGGAAGTGAATGCGGAAATACTTAGTAACTATGACAATGAAGAAAAAGAAGTTAGTAGTGAACTTCAGTCCTCTACCAATCTGCCTTCTGCTTCAGACAACAAATCCTTCCATGTCAATGGGAAGAACAATGGCAAATCGTTTGCAACTCCTGCTGGATCCTCTTCAAGGCGTCACTCAACTCTCGAGGATCCTAATTTTGTGGAAAACTACTTTAAGGTATATCTTCATAGAAATATTTATATTGTCCGTCTGTTTTATTCTCACACTTTCTCGTATTTCTTACAAGAGATTCAGTTATTTAATGGTTTCTCCGGAAAATAATTAATGATCTCTCGTTAAGATATAGTCCTTTCAGGTGGAAGTAAGAGAGTCTCGTTTTTATCAAAAGCAGACTCTGAAGATGTTTTTTTCTAATTTTTTTTTCTGCAGAATTCAAGGCTGCATTTTATCGGAACGTGGAGAAACAGATACCGTAAAAGATTTCATGGCTCTTCGAATGGACTTAAATGTGCAGATTCTGGCCAGAATACAGCTGAGAATGCTAAGAAGTCAACCATTATCCACATTGATTTGGTAATTTCCTCACCCTAAGCTGTTTTCTTTTTCCAATGCTTTCTTAAAGTAGGGGTAGCAGAAGAAAAACCTGGCCGATTCTTCATTTATGCATTTCCTGTCATACAATAGATAGATGTTTAAGCATGGAATTGGCCTTGGAAGAGAGTGAAAAATATGTTAGAAGCTTGTGTTTTAGGATTGTGTTTTTTGTTCTTGTTACTTGTTGGAACTAAATCTGTGATTATTTCAGGATTCATTCTTTGTGTCGGTGGTAATCAGGAACCGTCTTGAATTACACGACAAGCCTGTAGCCGTATGTCACTCAGATAATCCAAAAGGAACGGCAGAAATTTCCTCTGCGAATTATCCAGCTCGGGCTTATGGTCTGTCTTATACTAAAGTAATCTCTCTTAAGCTTAGTTGTGCTATGTGTCATGGCTTTTCTATTTTTATACTAATCTGATGGCATTTTCTTAATCTAGGAGTGAAGGCAGGCATGTTTGTAAGACATGCAAAGGACCTTTGTCCTCGGCTTGTTATTGTTCCTTACAACTTTGAAGCCTATGAAGAGGTACCTTTAGGGTTGAGTGTGTCTCACTGTCTTGTATGTTGTCGCGTTGGTCCAGTATGTTTAAAATTGTAAATCAATTGCAGGTAGCTGATCAGTTTTATGACATCTTGCATAGGCATTGCAGAAAAGTTCAGGTTAGCCTTCAAAAAGATCCTTTTTCAGTTGCCAGCGTTTATCGACTGCTAAAGTTTATAGGCCTGTTTGTTGGAATTTAGGCGGTGAGCTGCGATGAAGCGTTTTTAGATGTCTCAGATTTGATAAATGTAGAACCTGAGTTTTTAGCATCAACGATAAGAAAAGAGATCATTGAGACTACTGGATGCAGTGCAAGTGCTGGGATAGGCGGTACTATGCTAATGGCTCGCCTTGCTACCAGAGTTGCTAAACCGGCCGGCCAATTCCATATCGCTGCTGATAAGGTACTTTCAGTAAACGGCTTTATACTTCTTGCAGGTACCTGTTTGTTCCCGACTCGTAATCAATGGAAAGAGGTCTATGAGCTGTGGTTATTTTCCTGAATGCAAAAGCTATTTTGTATAAAATTTCGGTTCGTAATAGAGTTGTCTGCCGTTTATGCAGGTAGAGGAGTTCTTGGATCAGCTTCCAGTCGGCACACTTCCCGGCGTAGGCTCTGTGTTGAAGGAGAAGCTGGAGAAGGAAAATATTCAAACCTGTGGACAGTTACGTTTGATTTCCAAGGTAAAACATTTTTGTGGTTATAGACATGTCTAGTTACCTTTTCAGCTGTTGAAAGATTCATTCTGCTGACCAGTAATTGTTGAGCAATGTGAAGCCAAGTAAAAAACTAATCTCTTTGTTCTTAAAAGAGCGCATGTGATTCTTGTTTAATATGTTAACTTTATCCGTAGTTGTTAATAATCGATTTTCTAAATAAACTTCCTATCGGCTTTTGCAGGATTCTCTTCAGAAAGATTTTGGAGTGAAAACCGGCGAGATGCTTTGGAGTTATAGCAGAGGACTAGACCTTCGGTCAGTTACGGCGGTGCAGGTATACTTAACAGTAGATTCACTCGTTTGTTTTACATTTCATAGTTTTGCTTTCTATAGGTGATATTTTTCTTTTGACATGTCTCTTCTATGAGCATATAAGATGCCTCAACCAGTGACATGGAGATTTTATATGTACAGGAGAGCAAGTCTATAGGAGCTGAAGTGAATTGGGGCGTGCGATTTAGAGATCAGAAAGATGTCTGTATTCCCGTGAATTTTATTGCTATTTTCCCCAAATATAATCCATTTGATGTTTAACTAAACTAAGAATGTGTGTGGTTGTCGATGGTTGCAGGTTCAACACTTCCTCCAATGCCTATGCAAGGAAGTTCATTTGCGTCTGCAAGGATGTGAAGTGATTGGACGCACTTTTACTCTTAAGGTCTTATGTCTTCTCTTACTTTCATTGCTGTAAAATATTTAGACTGCCGCTATGAGTCGTCATTAGAAAATAACATACTGAAAATTTGTTGTGTGGTCCTACTTCAGATAAAAAAGAGAAAAAAAGATGCGGAAGAACCAGCAA